GTATTTTTTGTTGTGCACAGTATTTGTGTTTTTTATTAAATGAATAAAATAAAAAATTTAAAAATTAAATTAAAATTTTTTAAATAGGTTTGCAGTGCTTTTGCTGCTTGGGCCTAATAAATAATAAGAAACAGAACAACAATGGGCCTTGCCCATGCTTTCACTGCTCGGGCCTATCAATAATGAGAACAAACATTAGAATAATAATAGGCCTTCGCAGCATTTTTGCTGCTCAGGCCTAATAATAATAAAAAAACATTAGAATACCAATAATCCTTCACAGTGCTTTTGCTGCTCATGTCTAAATTTTGTTTCTTCTTTTTCTGCAGCCCCGTTGGCGGTGCGCGTGTCCCCCCAGGTTGATGTCAAAGCCCAGGGCAGTGCTGTGGAGTTCACCTGTTCAGCAGCAGGTGGTGTAGAAACAAAGATTGAGTGGCTAAAGGAAGGTGGAGCCCTGCCACCAAACCACCACATAAAAGATGGTGTTCTCAGGTGACTGCTTCTGGCTTTGGTGATACAAAACAAACAAACACATATGTTAGACCCAGAACATAAGCTTTAGTTACAGCTAAACACATCTCAAACATTTTAAGCCTATTCACTCTTTTTTTTTCCATTCATGGGAGATGCATTAGTATTAGTAACTATATTTTATTAGTATTAGTATTTTAACTAGAAGGGCTCAGAGTGTGCAGACCTCCTCCAAATAGCTAGGTTATGCAAATGAGAATGTGCAGCTGCTGAGCTGTGCTAGAWGCTGATTGGCTTTTGCGGTATGACATCACAAAATCAAAGTATTCCATTAAAATGCGGTCTCTATCTCTGTTCTCTGTTTTAAGTTTCAAGTCTTTTTGTGTCAGATGACGATGAGCTGCAATTCTGGCAGATGATGTCGGATCACACCACATTTCATCAGTTGTTCTTTGTGACAACATACCGTCCAAATTAAATTCAAATCTGTCATAACTTTTCGAGTGTTTTTGACGGACAAACAAACAAACCAACACTACTGAAAYGTAACTTCCTTGGCATAGGACAGGTAATTAAAGCATTTCTGAATTGAATGCTTCTTTTCCTTATAGGATTGAAAACCTGGAGCAGAGCAATGAAGGGATTTATATCTGCAGAGCAAGTAGTTTGTACAGTCAGGCACAGGACACTGCCAGGCTTACAATCCAAGGTCAGTAAAATCCTTTGCATAATAATAATAATTATTATTGTTATTATTATTATCATTATTTTTGCCTTCAACACCTCTGAAAAACACTTAAACATGTCATAAGTTTGAGTGAACAGAAGCAAATTTGTTTGGTTAAACAGAAAACGTTCACCCTGGAGTCTGGGGTTCAGTTCAAGTCAAATACATCTGTTGACTCAGTAAATTTATTATTATTATTAATGGAGTCGATGCTTAAGATTATAAGCAACTTTAAAATGAACATTTGACTAAAGATCTGTCTGAACTTCCAAAATGAGTGCAAACTCTCCTCTCAAACAATTTTCAAAGACTGAGAGACCCCACGCACGACGATAAAAACATCTTAACAGGTTTGGTTCTACAGTGTGTGGTGTACAGCACAACCCATTCTCACTCCCGAGTCGTCACATATTGACGTTTTTCAAAGGTCCCTTTGCGTCCAATTTTGACGCATCAGGTACCCCCCTTGCGTCATATTTTGACGGGATGGGGCGGAATCTGTTGTCGTAATTTCTGAAAGTGTAGAAAATGCACAAATACTACC